CCAACATTGACTCTGTCTTTATTGAAAAAAAACTGGGGGAGACTGGGAATAAATTGTGAGACTTCAAAGCAGGGATCTGTCCCGAATCAGGACAAACATTCTGCAGACAGAATCTGAAGCTGCTTTTGGACCGGGCCGATCAGCATGTTGCTTTTTCTAAGCTTTGTACTTGAAATGTGCGTCTCCGCGCGGTGGCTCCGTCCCGGGATATTGGACACGGTGCAGGTCACTGCTTTTATTGGAGCCGCGTCTGGGGTGAGGCGTTCCACAGCTGTGTCAAACCACAGTGGGGCCAGTGCAGGGTCCCCTCGCCCGCTTTGCCCCTCCCCTCTCGAGTCATTTAAACCAAAGCCTGCGACGCTTTTCTTCAGCAAACACCCAAACAAGATGTTTGAGAACTTGGAGGCTTCTCCAGCCCCATTTGCGGCAGAGGATGGATGGGAGCCAAGGCCTTCCTGCCAGCCGTTTTGTTTTTGACAAATTGGCTTTTCGGGACACATGTTGATCAGAAATTTCCCAGCCTCCGACCTTTGTCAAGTCAAGGGAAAGGGGCTTGGCAGGAGGGGTTAGTCTGTACCCTGTGGCACCTAGAGACTAACCAATGTTAGACTGTCAGCGTTCAGGGTTAAACCCACTTCATCAGACAAGTGGGAGTGGGAATTGCAGAAGTATCTGTACTAGCAAAAGCAGTTAGTTAGCTGTCCGTTGTAGGACCCATGTTAATGAAGCCTGATTTAATTAGTGTCGTTAACACTGGTCCTACAATTGGCAGCTAACTGCTCTTGCTGCCGTATACACTCTGCAGATCTTGTTTCGAGCGCAGCGTAGACGCAGCCTAAGATGCCCCTGGGCGGCTCATTTCCAAAGCCAAGGGAGTGGTGTCTTGCAGGCTATGAATCTGCAGGTGGCAGTGTTTCCAGCAGACTGGAATAGAGCCTGGCTGAGGGTAGGCGGGGAGAGCTGCCTGAAGCCATGGCTGGACGGGTGCCAGCCGGAGCCGTGTGCATCCGGTGTGAGCGCAGAGCTTTGGCCTAGGAGGGCTGCCATAGCTGTGGCGTGCAGCAAGCAGCCCGGGAGAGGTGCCCTTTGCCCTGGCGGCCTGGCCTGAACACTACGCTTGCAGCTGGAGGTGCTGCAGACCCTGCTGCCCGGGCCCCGAGGCCATGGCACCGGCGCTGCTGGTGCTCGGGCTGCTCCTGGGCCTCTACACCCTCCTCTACTACAACTGCATCAAAGGGGTCAAGTGCCGGGCACACACCAGCCTCCGAGGGAAGACTGTGATCATCACAGGTGAGTGGGGGGATCTGGCTTTCAAAGGAGGGACGGCTGAGCCAGCGTGTTCTATGGGCGGAGCATGCCCGGGTTGCCCGGCCCGGCCCAGCTCTGCCTCCTCCCCCACCAGCTGCTGTGCACCTGGGAGGCAGCCCCCACTGGGTCCTGCCAGCCCCCACTGGGTCCTGCCAGCCCTTGTGCTGCCCACGGGGTCCCGCTATTGCCCCCAGCTCTGGCCTCCTCCTGGGACAGTGAGAGATGTCAACTCTCCCGGATCTCACGGTCCAGACCCTGTTTGCCCCAAGGGAGTCTGGTCTGGGAGAGGTGGCCACCTGATCTCAGCAGGCTTAAGGAGGGGGTACAGCTCTGTACCCCCACCCCAAACAGCTCCAGCGCCACTGCCCCTCCCTGCAGGCCACAGCTCCGTGCGCCGGCTGGGGAGCCCCCGGGGCTGGGAATCCGTGTGCGGCTGCTCAGAGTCCCATGGAGCCCAGCTGATGAGCAGCGCGCCCCCAGCCAGGGCCGTGTCCCCCTCGGGGTGCCCATCCACACCCAGCTCTGTGTGCAATGCTTTTCCTCCAAGCACAGGTGGAAAAGATTGGCGGGGATGGGTTGGGATCCCAGCAGACTCAGCTCTGCTGGACAAGGCCAGTCTGAGTGCTCCTGAGAACCCTCCAAACAGCCCAGTGCTTGCCAGGCGCTGTGGCAAGGAGTTCCGCAGCCTAGTCCCAGGCAGCAACAGGGTTTCAATGCAGCAGCTCCCTGGAACACAGGGCCCATGGATCCTCCACCTCTGCCTTTTAAAACCAAGGCAAGGTCAGTGGGAAGCTTGATCCTCGGTAACGTCATCTTCCCCGAGGCGTTTGTGCTGGAGCTGGGGGCTGGCTGTGTCCTCCCCAGAGGCGGGTTCTACGAATTGCCTGGCGAGGGGAGGCGATGCGACCACGGCACCGAGCTGAGCTGCTCTTGGTCTCCCGGCCCCCGGCTCTGCTTTTCCAGGAGGAAACACAGGGATTGGGAAGATGACGGCGCTGGCGCTGGCCCAGAGAAGAGCTCGCGTCATCCTGGCCTGTCGCGACAGGGCGCGAGGAGAATCGGCCGTCTACGACATCAGACGGGTGCGGACGCCTGCTCCTGCCTCCTCGCTGTGGGGGCAGCCTGAGCCCCTAGTGCTGTGGGCTCTGCAGGCCGGGAGGCTTGCATGGTTGAGAGGCGAGGGTCCCCCGAGGCTCAGGAGGGCGCATCCCGAGAGGTGCAGGGGGCAGGGGCCCTGACGAGGGCAGAGAAGAGGTGAAAGGTTCCCTTGTACCTGTGAGAGGGCTCTGCAGGTCCCGGGGGCAAGCAGCACAGATACCAGCCGTGTCGGGGAGTGGAGGGCTGGAGCGAATGGTTAGTCGGGGGGTGGGGCTCCTTGCAGAGGCACCGTGGGCCCCATTTCCATGTGCAGGGAGCTCGCCGCTGGCCGGCCGGGTTCACTGGCTGCCCTGCTGCCAATTGCAACACCTTGGGAGGCTGTTCCATGTGCAGCCTACAAACGGGGGCTCCTGCAGGCCCTGCCGGCAACCAGCATCTGCTGGAGAGAAGTGATGCCCCCACCCCACCCCACCCCCTCAGATGCCCTGGGCCCAGCTCCCCTGACTGGTCCTGTTTGCCCAATGCTGAAGGTGGAAACCAGGCACCACTTTCCCCCCTGGCTGCTCCTGGCCAGAGCCCTGCCCGGGCACCGCGGGGGCCTGCACTGAGCGCCTCCCCCTCTGTCTCCAGGAGAGCGGGAACAGCCAGGTTCTCTTCATGCATCTGGACCTGGCCAGCCTCGACTCGGTCCGAGCCTTTGCCGAGACTTTCCTGCGATCGGAGCCTCGCCTGGACGTACTGATCAACAACGCAGGTGGGGGCCTCCGTGCCGAGCCAGCCCCCGAGGGTCCCGGCATGGGGGGTGGGGCTGGCTCTGAAGCGGGAGTAACAGGGTGTAGGCTGGGTGGAAAGTCCAGGGCGAGAGGCCACTGCTGCATGCTGGATCTGGAGCTGGTTTCTCTGCAGGTGTCGGGTGGTGATTGTGGCCTCCAGCGCCCATCGGGCGGGGAGGATCGACTTGGAGAAGCTCCGCGAGCCGGTGGAAGGGTTCCTGCAGAACTTCCAGGCTTACTGCACCAGCAAATTGGCCAACGTCTTGTATGCCCGCGAGCTGGCCGACCGGCTGGAGGGGACCCACGTAACCTGCTACGCTGTTCACCCAGGTGTGTGGGGGCCAGCCGCTCTTGGGGACGCAACCCCCGCCACGTTCCTGGGGCTCTAAATCAGTCAGAAGTCTTGGCCTGGCCATTCGAGAGGGGACGCTTAGACGTGCCTCAGGACGGCCAGACAGGCTGCTCAGGATGATAATCTCTGCATTTGGGTTACGTTTCAGCTCTCCCCTAAGAGGGGTACTCAAGCCCTAGTCGAAGTCTCCCAGCCGCTCTTGGGGACGCAACCCCCGCCACGTTCCTGGGGCTCTAAATCAGTCAGAAGTCTTGGCCTGGCCATTCGAGAGGGGACGCTTAGACGTGCCTCAGGACGGCCAGACAGGCTGCTCAGGATGATAATCTCTGCATTTGGGTTACGTTTCAGCTCTCCCCTAAGAGGGGTACTCAAGCCCTAGTCGAAGTCTCCCAGAACACGGTGAGACTGGATCAGACCAAAGGTCCAGCTAGCCCAGAGTCCTGTCTGCCCACAGTGGCCAAGGCCGGGTGCCCCAGAGGGAGTGAACGGAACGGAATCCTCACGGGATCCCTCCCATTACCCATTCCCAGCCTCTGACAAACAGAGGCCAGGGACACCATCCCTACCCACCCTGGCCAACAGCCATTGATGGACCTAACCTCCAGGAATGTATGCCTTGAACCCTGTTAAAATCCTGGTCTTCACAACATCCTCTGGCAAGGAGTTCCACAGGTGGTCTGTGCATTCCCCTTCGCACTGACCCACTCATGCAGTTGACGACTGGGTGGCAATCTTAGAGAGGCAGCTTTCTAATGAAGTCAAATGAGTCTGTCCCCACGTTCTGGTCCCTAATTCTGCATCTTGCTGTACCTGCAATGAAATCCTTTCCTACCTCTCCAGCCTGGGGATGGAATGGGGATAGGGAGGAAAAGGGGGGTTGGATCCTGGGTGTGCAGCACTGATGTTTGGGAAGCAAATGCGTAGATTAGAAACCATTCAACGCCCTTCTTTGAGCTGTCCATATGTTAAACCCTCTTTGCAGGCACGTGCCTGCCAAGCGAGTGCTCGGAGGGCGTGGATGGTTCTCAGTGAAACCTACTAAGAACCAAACCCCACCAGCCTGCGTGGGTCTCGCACGGGTTTTGCCTGATCTCCCTTCATCTTGTAGCCTGATCGAAGATTGCGTTTAAATTCTAATGACCCACCGTTAGGGTTGACAGGTTCTTTGTCCCAGGATCAGGCCCAGTATTCAATTATACTGTGATTGGGAACCCTGATGTGCACAGTTGCAGCACTCACACTCCAGAAACTCTTGTGTATTTACAATATTTACAGTATATTCATCCGGCTAGCACAGCCACGAACGCCCCGACTTCATAAGACAGGGACAGTCCATCCAGACTTCCATACCATCACATCATTCCTTCTAGAACAATCTTAGGTGTGAGCCCATCATCTTCCTCGTTATCTTCACCTTCCCCAGCACCAGGGACCATCCTTCTGGCCCTTCCAAGGACGATATCTTCTCCCTCTCGCCCTTTGGCTGGGTCCACTTGTACACTAAGTGATGCTGACGAGAGCATGTTTGATGCACATTCAGTAGGGGATGTTTTTAATGCCCAAGTGTCTTTTCCTCTAGGTCAATGTATCGTTGCTCTCAACCTATTAACATATACGTCCATTCGTTGCCCTGGGCCTTTGTGGACATCTTTCGCAACCTGTGTCCTGATTACTCAACTCAGCCTGAACCAATTGTTTGGGGACGTTTATAGATGGATGCAACTGCTGAGTTTGAGGGTGTTTTTCCTGCCATCCTGTGTGGGTGAAAGGTCCCAAACATAAGTTCCCCCTTTCAGTCCCAGGAAACCATAAATAAGCTATGACCGGTAGCTGGGTGAGACCGTGTCTCAACCACGGAACTCTGCTACCTCGGCGTCTGCTGATCTTGCAAGCGGCCTGTTACAGCCTGGACAAAAGATAAAAGATAGCCCCGTGTTATTTGGCCTGGACTGTGAGCTTATGTATGTTCTTTCATTCAAGTGCAAACATGGCACTCACTGGAAAGTGCATTCAGAGGCTGGACCATCTTGTTATACCTTGAGCAGGAGCCACTGCACTGCAGGGGAACCCGATTTACCAGGCAGCCTAGGCTGGGCTGTACGACACCCATGCTGCTCCTCCACCTAATAGCATCTGGACGGCCACCCAGCCCAGCCAGCGCATGGCACCAACAGGCTCCTGGCTGGCTGTGTGAGAGGCAAGCAGTACATGCCCACAGACAGGTACAAGCAGCAGGACCACTAATTTGGGTCTCTTGCTAGATTTATATACAAACATGTCCCGGCCCCCGCTAAGAAAGGGCCTGGACCTGGACCGGTCAATGGCAAAGCCCCCCCCATGGAGTTGACTGCTGCTGTGCTAGTATTAGTGGGACTTCCCACACTGCAATGGGCACAGTGAGTGTATTACACCAGAACCCCGACATCAGTCAGGCTAACACAAAGGGTCGGTGGGAATGCTGACAGCAGCTTTACGCCTGCCTCCCACTCCGAGTGTAGCCCTGTGGCCAGGTAGATATGCCACCCCCCAGTTGCTCCAGTCTGAGCACTGGGCAGGCAGGGCACATAGTGCAGACCAGCCTTTAGATTTCTTGCATTACAGCTCTTAACTATTACCTAATTCATCTAAATGAACACAGCCATGTTATTAGCATGACAGGCAAGTAACTCGATAGGCTATAATCTCTACCGGCACCGTCGCTCTTTATGCTCCTGAGCGACACCCTCCCCCCGAGATACGGTCCCGTCTAACCACAGCTGCTGTTGGATTTTTGCTTCCAGGGATCGTTAACACTGAGAGCCCGCTCTTCGTTCCCATCTCCTGGCTCTTCTTCCGAGACCCCGCCGACGGCGCCCAGACCTCTCTCTACTGCGCCTCGCAGGAGGGCATTGAGATGTTCAGCGGGCGGTACTTTGTGGACTGCCAGGTAAAAGATCCCTGGCCCCAGGCCCGTGACGATGCTATGGCCAAGAAGCTCTGGGAAGTCAGTGAGAGGATGGTGGGGTTAGTGGCTTAGAACATGCGACCCCCTGACACTGACCGCTACGTGGTGACTGTCGACTGGAATAGCTGCAGCTGCTGGAGGGGTAGGACTACTCAGAGAGGGCCTTGGACTGGCTAAAGGCAGGCAGAACTGACAGTGCAGCTTCGGACGTACTGAACATTATGATGGAAGCATCCATTGGCAGCGATGCTCTTCCAACTGGCACCCAGCACCGCCATCCTTCTTTTTAACAGGAACCAAAGGTACCCGCCTTTTTAAGAAGCAGGATTCTCTTTACCCTGCCTCTAAGGAATAAGGTTTTTGAGAACTAGGATGCTCTCTCTGAGCATAGATGCCTGCCCTGCCCCACAACTTGCAAGGCTGTTGGCATGGGTTCTGCTGGGGCTACCGACTCTCGTTTCTCTCCCCTGAAGCCCTCTACCACAAGGAGGCCGGTGGCACCTTAAAGACTAGCCATGTTATTGTGGCAGAAGCTTTAGTGATTTGCAGCTCACTTGGTCAGACGCAGGAAGTGAAAGAAAAGAACCAGATGGCCAGGGTTCAGAGATAGGAGTGTTCCAGCAGAGCTAATTCAACCGGGGGGATGTGGATCAGGTGAAAATACCTGATGTGGAAAATTACTTATTGTAATGAGCCATTCCCAGTCTCTGTTCAGACCCAATTGGATGGTGTTGGGTTTGCACATAAATTCCAGCTCCGCAGTTTCATGTTGCAGCCTGGTTTTGAAGGTTTTTTTGCTTGGGGATGGCAACTTTTGAGTCTGTAACTGTGTCTCCAGGGAGAATGAAATGTTCTCCTGCTGGGTTTGGAGTGATTCCCGTGCTCGATGTCTGATTTGCCCAATTGTTCTTTTGCATAGACAGTCTGGTTTGTCCATACGCACGGTGCTGGCGCAATGGCATAGATCACGGCAGGAGATGTGCAGGTGAACAAGCCTGATGGCTGATGTGGTTAGGTCCTTTGACAGTGTCACTAGGGTGTAAAATCCCGTTTTATCTGGTCAACTAATCAATGTAACTGACTAATGGATCAAATGGGAGTGGGTGGGGTGATGTGGGCAGGGGCTGCTCCAGCCCAGCTGCTTCCAGCCCCCTGTGTGGGGCTGGCACAGCTGCTTTCAGGGTGGGTAGCTGGTAGAGCCCTCTGCCTGCAGCAGGCCACGGGTGTGTGTGGGCGGGGGGGGGCTTAACTGTTCACACCCCTAGTGGATGTGTAGGCAGAGTTGGCAACGGGGTAGGTCAGAGGGATTGGGTCCTGGGTTCGTGTTTCTGTTGGGCGTGTGTGTTTCATGTTGGGAGGATGTCTCCTTTCTCAGTCAACCACTCTTGACAGCATTTTCTATAACAACCAATTGAAACACAATACAAATACCTGCTTTTAACAGGTGAATGAAAATGCCTCATTGAGCATTTTCCTGGTCTCATTTTGTCACCGTAGCCCCAATCCTAAGTAATCACCAATCGCCAATTTGTACAGCATCCCCAGTGCAACCGGTTCATGGGGCTGTTCCTTTAAGTACCTGGCCAGCTGTGGCCCACGTCAGAATTTGGAGAATTCCTGTGCGGGGCAGAAGACGGGGGAAAGGTGATACTCAAAGGATGAAGATGCTCCAGGCAGGATGCTAGAAGTAACTGCTACTTGCACACAGACAAAATGCGGGTAGGTCCTCACTGGGTAGGGACACGTGGTGCAGCCTCCAGCGTGCTACCTGCTGTGTCTCTCATGATGATTTGGCTGCAGCCAGCAAGTCCTGAGTCACTGAAATTCTGTGTAGACGGGGAGAAAAATGCTT